ATTTAAAAACTCTACAATTAATTTACGTTTCAATGCTTTTTTAAAAATTGAAATAGTTCTACTGAGTTTTGAAGTGAGGTCCAATGAGTTCCAGATGGTAGTTGTCCTATAATAAATATGTTCTTTGGCCAGTGGCAGTAACCCAACATTTTAAATTAACCTGCTTTTCTCTCATTAATTTTGATCATTCCAGCCATTCTTTCGCCGATTGACAAGGTCACAGGTTCCAACCCTGTTCCACTGTCCTTAAAGATCTTGTAGTTTTGGGATAGACACTTAATGGCAGTGTCAAGGTCCACCTCTTTCACCTAGTAAAGAGAAAAGAATATTACTTGTTCATAACTTACAGTGAACTGCTGTTTCATGCTTATCAAATTTGGATTTTTTTGTGGATCTTAAAACATTGACACTCTGCTGACATGTGTATCTTTTATCTTAGCTCAATTGTCAGTCATTTGGGTAATGTAACAGGTAAGGTTAGCCTGAGAGAGGGAGATGACTGATGTGGACCTATGGTTTAAGGCTTTTTACAAGCCTACATAGATGCTTAATCAGGCCAATGCTTTAGAAATGTCAGCTTAGATAGCATGACGTGGTGAGGAATTTGGCTACTCTCTTCAGATGGAATGGTTGCCCATCTTGAGTTATCCCTGACGTTTTTGCTAGGTCACTGTTAGTGATGTCACCAGTATCCATGCATACTCCTGGGTGACAGTGGAGTCACCAAAAACACCAAGCGACCCCAGCTAATATTAGAACCTGTACTGTTCAAATGACATTACCGGGAGTCTGACAACCTCCAGCCATTTATGACCACTGCATCCCCACATTGTGTAGTTCCAGAAAATATCCAGAAAATATCCAAACCTCCCCATACCTCCCCATACCTCCCCANGTTGGATCAAGAGAGTTAGCAAATTAAATTAAGCTTTTTATGTACAGTAGATAGGAATACTGTGCATTATACAATAATATGCTTCAAATGAAACTCCAAAATCAATACCAGTTACCAGGCTCTACTGATACTGAATGGATATTTTTTAAAACCACAAGCTTTTATTTGGTGTGAAGGCTTGTTTTGGCGTAATTCCTAATGTAAACTATAACATAGCCAGTGGACATCAGTAGCCCAAGTGTTCATCCATAACTCCATAGACGCATGCTAAGCATGAACCAGTTCTTGAGAAAGTTGGACTGGCCGCTAGGGGAAGTGCTTTAATTAATTAGCAAGCGGGCAGTAGCACTATATTCCCAGTCATGCACAGTAGGAGTCAGGAAGTGAATTTTATCATGTATATAGCACTTAGGAAATTAATAAACAAAAGAGTGTGTGTCCACTATTTAAACAATGAAGTGTCAATTTTCAAACTGCAGTCCAAAGATCTACTTAGTACATTTTCAAACGAAAAAAATGCACCTCTGGCATTTGCAGCATTCAAAATGTTTCTCTTGTCCTGCCATGCCAGGTACTTGCCATAATTCTCTGATACTCAAACTTGACAGACTCAGTGTGTAAACTGAGAGTTTATAAGGGACAAAATGACACAAAGAACTGATCCATGCATCTTGCATGTTAGATTGGCATTTATTTAATAGTGGTTTTAGGTAATATGGAACTACATGTTTTTTGATTCTTCCTTAATTCAAAAAGTGATTTCTTGTATTATTTATTCAATAATATTATAACTTGTGGTCCTATCTATTTAGTGAGTACCGCCTTGAACTTACTTTCTGTGGGGTATAACCTTATCTATCATTCAATTTCCTCATCATGGAAAAAAGAAAACAAAACAAAAAGAAAAAAAAAAAAAAGATTACACTGGGTTCTGTTGACTCACCAGGCACCAGATATCATGTTTTATTTTTTTCATAATATTGTTGTTAATATTTAATGAGTTCAATATTAAAAGTCAAATTACATTTTTCGGATGGAGAAAAACAAACTGTCACCAAATTTGCATTTCTATATGAACACTTCTTTTGCTTGACAAACAAAATAATTATTGTTTGGTGAAAGAAAAGGACGAAAAGAACACTGCATGCTTCCAATGTAATGCATGCAAAACAAGGTCATGATATAGTGACCTCGGGCATGAACAACCATTTTAATTTAAAATATAGAGTTTAAGTTTAACAATACCCCTGACCTTGATTCACTCCTTATTTTATGGTGATTGTATTGTGCTACAGAGACAGATTATGTCACTATAGGTGAGATTAAACTAATCTCACTGGCATTGATGTTTAAAAGCTCTTTCTCTAATATACTGATCAAGTTCAACCTTTTATTTGCCACAAAAAAGTGACCTTCCACACAAACATTTAAAGTTGACCTGATTAACACGGATTGCTGAGTTACATCCTACTCTGTATTAAAGAAGTATTAATAGCAACTTATGTCTCTTTCTTGAACAGTTGCAATTAATCAGCAATCCAAGTTGTTCCCCTCCGGGTTTTGTCCCTGTGTGGTTTGCTCAATTCAACCACAAAGTTTTCCAAGCACAATTGTATTAATCATGTGATTTTTATTTGACATTCCAAAAAAATCCTCAGTTTCCAACCACATCTGCTGGAGAGTAATTGGGTTTACTCTGATGATTTAGACTCCATTTTTCTTTTGTATTGGTTTGATTATAAAGCGGATTTTTTATATTAATTTTTGATTGCACAATTGTTACAGCAGGGTTCACAGACTTTATTGATACTACCTCAGTTTTAAAGCTATTTTTCCTGTTTCTACTGGTTGTAAAAACATTCCTCAGGGATTTCTGAACCAACTTGAGCTTATATATTTAACCTTTCAGCTCTGCTGGGATCTATTATTTTTGTTGGCATGTTTTATTTATAGATTTATATTTATTCGGTATACCGTATTCGGCTGGTTTTGAAGTTATTTTCCGGCTTCTGATGGTAGTAAAAATATTTCTGAACCAACTGCAATATATAACCATCCATCTCAGTTTTGTTGGGCGCTATCAGTTAACCATCTTGGTATCACATGCAACGCTATGAAAAGTCACGTTAGTTACACGCGCACCTTACTTAAGGCATACATTTGCACAAGTTATAAAACCAAACAAAAAAAATTGCAAAAAAAAAAACATGCTAAACGTTTTGAAACTTACAATTTTAAAACTAGTTTGGAAAAAAACGGAAAAACTTTCTATCCTGCGTACCCTTAGTAGATCGTTGGAGCNTTCCTCGTCAATTCAAGCTTAAATTCAACTCAGTGTCTTTAAATAGAAAAAAAAAAACAAATAATAAAAAAAAAACCACTCAACAAAAAAAACAGTCAACATATTCTCTCATAAACCCTACACCGCAACCTTATTTTTTCGAATTAACTAAGCTTACGTTTATACAACCGCAATTTGTGTCTACATAATACATGTACTCACCTTTACAAAGATCTTCCTCTACGATAATCGTATAACCATCCCTAGTTTCGGTAAAACTGAAAAATCTTGGCCTGCAAAACACACACAGAGAGGTAAGAAAGGATGCGAGGCAAGTTTGACCAAGTTTGCCACGTAATGAATTTAGCGCGGGAAGAAATCGGGAAAAAAACGGGATCACGTAAGCTGGTACACACAATAGAATCACAAAGACACCGGTTAGACCCGACCAGTACCGCCAACTAAGGCGATTTATGAAACCCTAAACGAGGTGTTAACTATATCTATAACTTCTTCACTCTGCGTTGAACTAATAGAAGAATCAGTCAGGGGAAAAATAAAGGTTCTCGAGTCTGATACGTAAGCTTACCTTGATCGAGGTAGTAATGAAATTTTTATTAGCGCATGTGTATATAAAGGAATTGCGTCCTTCTTCAAGTTTGAAACCCGAAGCTTGTGTTCAAGAATGTGAAGCTCAGAAGAATGACTCTTAGATCCATTCATCATTTTCCTACTCCAACGCAAAAATCGACGGCGATCGAGTTAGTGAGTCGTCGTGCGTGCGCTACAAATGGATTGCGCAGATGAAAGCGGTATGAGAAACCACTTGTTCGACTTCCCGCGGTTTAGCCTGATTCGTCAAATAAGCTGACGCACGCTGTGAATATCCTTGTTAATTGCACTTCCTTTTAAAGTCATCTTAGATAAATACGGTCAGTTCCGGATCACGGCTCACCAGCAACATATAAGTATATCGAAATAAACAACTTAAAATTCAGGTCAATGAGTTTCACAACATCGCTAGGTGCAAATGCCCCACAACAAGATTCCACGGCCGGTGCCTCGATCTCGGTTCTTTTCGACGTTTAGTTGATGGTGGTGAACATGAAGGAAGTCTATAGGAATTTACGCAGCCGGAAAAACCTCAGTTATTTGTAAAAACAATTTCTTATGCAATCCTTTGAAGCGATTTGAATGATTCTTAGCGTTTCACGTGGAACATTGGGTACTAGGCACGACAATGCGCGGTTACAAGGCAATGCAAGCGACTACCTGAGTGGGGTACAGTACAGGCACAAAAGTAAATGCACAATTTATTATTGAGTGCTCTTTCATACAAATTACAAATTTTGGGACAAAATTTAATCTGAAACAGCTCAATGTCTCTATTTTGATATGAACTGATAGAAAAAAACCCTTTCCAGTAGTTCTGCAAGGAATTATAGCAACGTGGCAACTTGCCTTACCCCTCCTCTGAAGGTAACAAATTTTATTGACTGCGAGAGGGTACGAAAAAGCTTCAAGGTTAAAATATATTGTTTAAAGCAAAATGTCGATATTTACGCCAACGAATCAAGTGAAACTAACAAATGTAGCGGTGGTAAGGTTGAAGAAAGCTGGAAAACGTTTTGAAATCGCCTGTTATAAGAACAAAGTTATGTCTTGGCGAAACAAAGTGTAAGTACTAGCTAACAGTTTACCACAGTTTTCTGACATTGCGGTTCGAGTCAAATTGCAAGAAACTGAAGAAAGGTATTGCCATCATAAACGCTGCAGCAGTTACCTGGCTTTATTACTTTCAGTCCATGCAGACTAAACACCAAAAGCAAGCTTAGTCAGAAATATAATTTCATGCAAAAAATTTAAAAAAAATTAGTGAGCTTAAATAGATAAGCTTAATAATAGTGCAAATTAAGCTTAGTTGTTAGCCTGCAGGTAAAAAGAAAGAAAGATATAAGCTTACGTAGGTATTTTATATAATTGTGGTTATCAGCAACGCAAGTTTTCCTAGTGACATTCTAAACACAGTTCCTTGCCAACCCGTCCTTTCATTTCTGGGTTAAATGAAATGGGGATGCCAAAAGAGCACGAGAAAAATTTATGAATCAGCGATCATAAAATTACAGTTTTTGAATTATCATTACCAAAATCCTCTGATTTACTTTCAAAATCACAAATATTTGGTTTAGTATTTAACTTTATTTTTGGTCCTTTGGTCATCGAAGAAATTCTCCTAAATGGTCTCCTCACATTTCTTACACCACCAGTAAAGAGAATTGCTTCATTTATCAGACAATTTCCCATTGGTGATCATTTACTACATTCTCATGAACTGTGTGAAAGAGTTTGTATTAATATAAATTTACAAGGAGAAATTGTATTTTGACTGTAGAAGCTGAAAGACATATCCCTCAATTTGTAATTACCATTATATTTCCTTGGTTTAGCAACCTTTCCTGAGCAAAAATCTCCTTAGAATCAAGTAGGGGGAACATCGTTTCTTGACTTTGTTTGACTTAGTTCCTTGTTCTAAGAAGAGTAATAGGCTGGACGAACTTACAGTGTTTCACTATTGGTAACAATATTGTTTTCCATAGAGAAAAGGACATTGATGAAGTTCTTCAAACCCATACAGTGTTCACAAATGTTTCAAAAGGACAAGTTGCTAAAAATGAGGATTTAACAAGGGCCTTTGGAACAACTGATCAAACAGAAATCTGTCTGCAGGTAAACTTTGTTACTTTTTATGTTAATAAATTGCTTTTGTTTTCATTTTATCATTCACACTTTCTACCCCAGTCTTTCACTTTCTCAAACAGTAGGGAATTTTGTACAATTGTGCAAGCCAACATCTGGCGATGTACACTTTATAGCGCTTGCTCCGAAATAGGAGTGTTGCTGTGGAGATTTACTTATGGGATCTGAAATAAAAAACCAAACTGCTCCCAAGGCTTATGTGTCTGCTCCAAGTCAAGCCTGTCAAAAACAAGCCAAAGTTGACAAAAATTATGCACATTAGGCATTAAAGATGTATCATTTTTACATTGTGAAAAGCAACCAGAGGGTTACGTTATTATAATGCATAAGTTTAGCTAACCTGAGAAAGGGGTGTAATCTTGTTATTTGCTGTGGTTTGAAGAATAGCAGCAAATCGTTGGTTTTGCGGGTCACTGGTTTTGACAGTTTCTCAGTAGGGTGAAGCAAGGATTTTGCTGAATTGATTGGTTTTGTCACCCCTCTCCCGCAGGGATCTTGTTTAGTGCCTGGCTCTGCGTTTGAGAGGGTTCAGGTTTCCTCCAAAGAGGGGTTTTTTCCTGACAGGCAGCAGGCATCTTCTTATTATCTGGACTTCTGATACATGTAGTATAACTTCTCACATGTATATGTTGGCTTCAATAGATGCAACAGGGTCTGTTGCTTGCAGAATGCTGGGCAGTCTGTTATCCAATGCAGCAATCAGTTCCACTATAGTAAAAAGCTGGGTTTGATTTGTCTTTATTAGGGAAAAGGGGATCAGAACAATATTATTGAATTGGGCTATCTAAAGATTTGGTTTTTCATTTTGGCAAATTTTATTTGTCTGAAACTGCTTTATGTTTTACCTGAAAGATTTTAGCAAAGGGAGAATTACAAGTGTCTGAGAAGGAAAGAAACACACAGCTGGAATCAATGTTCAGAGATATTGCAACAATTGTTGCCGACAAATGTGTCAACCCAGAAACAAAGCGACCTTATCCTGTAGGTGTGATAGAGAGAGCTATGAAAGACATCCATTATTCAGTTAAACCAACAAGAACAACAAAACAACAGGTACTGGTTAAATTTAGTGAAATAACTGTAGCAGCTCTTGAAACTGGTAATAAGCTTCTGGTGTTCAGATGTGGCATGGAAATTATGGCTGGTTCAATAACTCCTATCTCTATTATCTTATCCTAGGCTCTGGAGGTCATAAAGCAACTCAAAGAGACTATGGAAATAGAACGTGCTCAAATGCGTTTACGTTTGATTGTACCAAGTCGGGAGGCTAAGCGGGTACATGAGAAATTGAAACCTAGCATATCAGTGGTTGAATCTGAAGATTGGCAGGGAGGGGATTTAGAAATGGTAAGAAAAGAGAATTAAAATTATTGAAAGCAACTCATAAAGGTGCAAAAAAAATTACTGCTTGTTGTATTTTATTCTTAAGTAATATTGTTGCTTTTGAATTACTAAAATTGTTGTAACTCTTTGCTAGGTTTGCCTCATAGATCCTGGCTGTTACAGAGTTATTGATGAAACCCTTCGGGCTGAAACACGGGGACGGGGAACACTGGAAATGATCAGTTTAAAAGATATTGAAGAAGGAGATGAAAGACTTGAATAACATTCTGATACACTTGAAGAGATGATATCTACATCATGGTCAATGCAGACACCATGATGTTGCTTCTTATATTGACCAAGCTGTTGAGAGAAATTAAGAGGCTCTAAAAAAAACAAACAGCTACTGTGTGCAGAGCAATATTATTGGAGGCTAGAAAATGTTTTAACTAAAAGTCCAATAGTAATTAATTTTACTTACAAAGGCAGATTGAAAACAAACAAAAAATTGTTGGTTTTGAAAACACTTTTTCCAAACTTCAAAATTTTATATTCCCTTGGAAAACGGTAAATGAAGTATGCAATTATTGTGTTTTCTCTTTCTTTGAAAATGGGATCTGAATTTCATTTACTAGAAAAAAAACTTTCAATTTCTTGACTTCCGATTTGCGAGAAATAAAGGAATTTAAAAGCAGGGCTGTCAATAAGGGCCGTAATCTGTAGCACCTGTTACGGTCCTTGATGGTATGGGTGAACTTGCCTGTAGTTGGTACAATTCACCCATAAAGTAACAAGTTTGATAAGGATGTGAATATCAAGGTTACAGATGAATCAATTTGAAAACTTAATGACAGCCCTGCAAAGATCCTTGTACAATTATATAGCTTTCTTTCTTGTACTAACTGGAAAAAGAAAACCCAGTAAATTGAAAAATCCATTACACCTTTATGTGGGAGGCACTAAGACTTCCATGATACATAGCAGCATTATTTCCCACTTATTAAATGCACAGTTCAACCATTGATGAAGGTCTAAAATACACTCATGGTCTTGAACCAGTCAAGAGAATTCTGAAAAACCAAACTCACGTAGTGGCTGTAAATAGAATCCACCCAAAAAATGTGCTGCTAGCTCCTCAAGCTTGTTGACAAAAAAAAGGCCAACGTCAAGGCTCATACAGCAAACAGCAAGCACCTAAAGCAAGACCAAATCCCCTGATGTGTCCAACATGTTTTTTGCATTAAAAAAGTGCCAAGAGAAACTGTGAAATATGTATGAACTGC